GGGAGATCGTCACTGTTTGGAGGATGGGTCCAGAAACCAGATTCGTTTTCACAGACCTGTCCTGTCTTGGGGAAAGCCTCCACAATTTTTTCCAAACTCTTTCAGTCTGGTGACTCCAGCTGGTTTCTGAGCCTTCACTGACACCGTGTGGTAGAGATGGGAACAGCAAGCGTTTTGCTTAAAGCTCTGCTGGAGTCTGGAAAAGGAAAAGAGCCCACGGTGAGATGAAGGAGCTGGGACAGTCTAACAGCCATTAGAAAAACAGTTGCTCTTTGTGAAAGGGGCCCTGCGTATTGCACTTGCAGCAATAACTCTAACTCTGAGTGGTTTTGTAAAATAAAAGCAAAAATGTGGAAAATAATGGGCAGGTAATTAGGTTCCATTAGAGTGCTAGCAGCAGGGAAAATCATGCACAGCAAAAGTATATTTCTGAACTGCTTTTTAAAATTTCTCTCTTTTTTTTTTTTAATTCTAATCCTCTTTTCTTCAATGCCTGTGTTAACACCACTTTCCTCACTTTCTTAGTCCTATTTATAGCTAGGAACATCAAAAGTTGCATGAAAGCTTTGCATATAATGTCAAATTGAGGTTTTATTCAATTATTTTTATCATTTCACAGATTTTTAATAGAGGTCTAAAGAGCTCAGCTTGGGCCACCACTAAACTGGTATCCTGCTAACACTGTGGTATCTCCCAAAGTATTTTGGGAAGGCTGCTGCTGGCCTCATCTCCTGTTTTATAATTTTGAAGTACTGCTTGGTAAAATACTCCCAACTGAGAATTTTTACTACCTTTCTTATCCTTTCATCTCTTCTCCAAAGTAAGTGGAAAGTCACAGCTCTCTGCTATTTCTGTTTGGGTAGGCAGATGGCATTTCCACTCCAGGGAGCTTTCTTTCCCTCGCATGTTACTTGGGGGTTTATATGTGAGCTGAGTGCGTCTCTGTAAAACTGTCTGAGATGAAAATGGGTGATTAAAGGAGTCCAAGTGGAGAGTATATGAAATTCTTTTGTTCTGGCACTTAACTAGCTGCACGATATTCAGAGGCGTAGTTAAACTATTTTTCATGCCTATAAAACAGCAGGTTTTGTGCACAGGCTGGAGAATTTTTCTCAAAGAGCTGCTAGAACAYTATCAATGAAGTTTTTGTCCAAGGCTACTGAATAACCTTGTACTGCAGCAAATTCAGAAAGCCAGACTGGAAGGAATGTATTGAACTAACTTTATGTCATTTAGGACCTCTTTATGTCTTTCAATAATTCTGCCTCATTCWAATAACTTGTAGCAGATCCTCACAGCTTTTTAACCTTGCACTGAGAGAAAACATCGCCAGTTCTTGTGGCAGGTTGAAAACAGTACTGCAAACAGCAAAGGGCAACAAGGGCRGAGAAAGCTGACTTGGTTTTAAAAGACTTCCTCTTCAAAGGCTTTTTTTTTCACAATCTATTTTTTATACATTCATGGAATGAGTTTCTGAGATACTTAATTATTATGTTAGTGTGCAAACTTAAAGCTGATTAGGGTGCTCTTGTACGTACCATAAAAAGAATGGAAAATGTTTTATGCTTCAAAGCAGAGTAGAAGTCAAAAGGGGAAATACACAAATATGGGCAGAAAAATATAAAGTAACAAATTATCTTACATTTCTATGCTTGAAAACTATTGGGCTTTTTCATCGTCCAGGTGCCTACCCCCATGGATTAGAATTCAAAGGAATTCAGGGCTGCTTTCTGTACACTGTCTTTCTGCACACTGCTACACCCTGAGTAACAAGAAGCATAGCTTTTCATATTATTCCGAGGAATAGCAAATACTGAAGTTCATCTAAATTCCATCATTTTTAAGCCAGTRTGATCCCACAGGTTTAGTACAGARCTGGGAATTAGGAGTCCAGGTTTCTCATTCTGTGTCTGATTTACTGTATGGCCTTTCACAAATTCTGTTCTGCACTTCCTTTCTTTGTGTCAAAGATGAAAATGATAATATTTCTCAGATCTCTGGGGTATCACAAGGTTTCGTTTGGTCATACTGATAAACAGCTTTGAACTCAACATGCAGAATGCTAGGAATTGATTTCTGATAYAACTGGCTGCCAGTGAGATTGACCTCATATTTGTCATCCTAATGGATTTGTTTTACCAGAAATAATGTTTGTGTTCAGGTCTTTCCCCAGATGGGCCAGCACTGGAATGGGATTAGGCCTGGTCAAAGACCAAACAAATCTGCTTAAACCTTGCACCTTTAGGATCTGAAATCCATGGCTGAAAATCATGTACTTGTCTGAATTGGGTAAAATGCAGGACTGTTGAAACCATGGCTTGAGAAAAAAGTAGCCAAACTCTGAACTTTTAAAGAAYATTTTATTTAATTTTACCCTGTTGGTAAAAGGAATAAGAAGTGCAGAAAAACATTGTCAACATTAATATCAACTTTTGCCTAAGTAAAAGATAGGACCATACTTTCAATGTGCATTGCACTTAAGAAAGAGAACCAGCCATAAGTAAATGCCCAAATCTACAAATTTTTATAGTTAAGTACTAAAATTAGTGACAGTGAAATGGTTTTTGCATTTTTTYCCCCCAGCATTGCATTTCCAACTGCAAACAACATTCCAGAGGGGCAGCAATGTATTATTTCCCTACAGTTAKGTGCTGCCTCTGCACTATAGACTGTGACTGTCGTGACCCCATGACCATGAGAAAGTTTGGATTAGTTATATTGTAATTATTATGCAATGCTATGGAAATAATTATTTTGGTAGGCACTTTAAATCTTCTAAATGGGAAGAAAATAAAATTAATATTATGCTTCCTTTAAGCCTTTAATTTGTAAGCCTTACTTTTCTGACAACTGAGGCCGCAACTAAGAAAACCTGAAATTCTGAATTCAGGAAGAAAACAATAAAAGAGATGTATCCTGTATTTTCTTCAAAACCATTACAAGAACTTTGAAGAGAGGTTTTCATTTGCATTTATAAGAGGATGAGGATGATTCACATATAGAAAAATTAAATTTATACAAGCTACAGAATCCAGAGCTATCTCTGCAACATATTAAAATATATGAAGAACATATGTTGCATCACAACAGAAGTTTTAGACGAATCTGTATCTTAAAGTTAATAAAATCACCTGATCTTAGAGAAACTGAAGGCCACCTCAGTGGCCTAGTCTCTGTGTCCTAATCTCAATGTCTAAAGATCACCCTCATGAAGTACTGCTATCTCAGCTCCTGCACAGCTCTGTTAAGATCTTGAATGAGTATTCTACCAGTTTTGGTCAGTGCATTCTCACCAGAAAGCTTCAATTTAGTCTGATGATATCCAGAGARCAGCAACAAGGATGGTTGCAGATGTTCTATAAATGACTGAGAGTAAAAGATAAAGAGCTCTGAAGTTCTGAGGTAATATGTAACAAAAGTCCTTACATATGTGAAGCATTGCTGCAGGAAAAAACTTTCTCATTCCRGCCTATGTAAAGAGAAAAAATATTATATAAATAGCAGCAAAATACAAGTACATTAGACATGAGAAGAATTTTTCTTTTTTTTTGTAGATAATTAAACAGTGCAACACATTTAAGAGATGTGTGGTATCTTCAAATATAACAGATATAAAAATGTAAACTTGCCAACAAGTGCTTAGCTGTAGTCTTGCTGTAGTTGTGTTGCTTTTAAGGCTTAAGACAAGATTTGTGGAATGAAGTAATATATTTTACTAGATCAACTGATACGGCTGAAAGATAGGCAGAAGCTTTCAGGCACATCATCCTTCTTCRGATCTAAAGAAGCATCTGATCTCAAGAGCTTATGTGTCTTAACATCTTTGTGTTTTTTTCCAGCTGTTTTAGCTAGTTTAATGACTATAAGAGAGTGGCTTAACTCTGGCAGATTCCATTTTAGATTTGGGCAACCTCTTGAGAACCTTTTAAACTCAATTTTTTAACATTCTCTGATCTGTTTAATATACTTAAATTAAGCATTGTGCTATATCCCGACAGATTAAGGAGACTTTGAATCTTCATCTGGATTTGCATGATGGATGAATAATTGTTTGCAGGGAGACCCTTTGATGTACAATGAATTGCACTCTTGTCTTACAAGAAGTATTGTGGTGTTTTTGGAAAATTTTGTGCATCAGTTTTAAAGATCTTTGGGTCACTGAATTTAAAAATCTCARTAATTCTAAAGCTTTTGATTGCTACCATCAGGGTTTGTGTTCCAAAATCATTTTAAATTTACTTTCTCAGACTTAGTTATGGCTTTTTTAATTTAGTACCTTATGAACTTGKTGTAATAATTTTAAAGGACTGATTTGCCTCATTTCTAAGTCTTTCAGTTTGAAAAAGAGAGACATAAAATATTCAAAACAAGCTTTAAAGGCAAATCTTATAAAGTTCCTGCTGCAYGCTGCTTTTTACCATCATCAAACATGCAACATATTTAATAGAGCAAAAATTACTTTTATTAACTTACTTCAAATCACAGTTACCCAGAAAATTGTCACAAATTACCTGCAGATGCAATAGATATGTTAAATCCAGAAAAAAAAATATATAAAATTGTATTTGTCTTGGTACAGTTTACAGGATTCTGTGTTGTAGCAATTTGGTTTAAGCACCGCACTATCATAAGGAAACAAACTTTTACAAACATAGATGTGTACTGTTGTAGATGAGCCAATGCCTCGAAGGAGACRTGAAGAAAGTTGTGTGAGTAGTTAGTGAAGATAAACTAGCAGAAAAGTAGGATGCTTTGTATATTGGGTTATTTCCCTTGCTGCAGTCTGTGGAAAGCTTTCTTTGTGTAMGAATAATCTCTCTAGATGTACTCTCTTGCTTCCACTTTAAAAGAAAACACATGGTGCTTGCACTGAACTATTCAAATACTCTGTGTTCAACAAAGGACACAAACATTTCCTTAGTTCAACAAAGTCAAGTGTCTCCTTCTTAAAGCATTTYCTGAGTCATTTCCAGCTCACTAACTTGTCTTTCCAAATTCAGTTTGCCTTGCAGTGTGGAAGAATCATCACATGCGGACAGTTACCAACTATTTCATAGTGAATCTTTCTCTGGCTGACATTCTGGTCACCATTACTTGTCTTCCAGCAACTTTGGTTGTGGACATCACAGAAACGTGGTTCTTTGGGCAGACCCTCTGTAAAGTGATTCCCTACTTACAGGTAWTATTTTTCTGTGTTTGTGTACACATKACCCATTATGAAAACCAGAAATAAMAACAGCATCTTCYTATTACTGCTAATCCAATGAATGTCTATGCCTGATAYTGAGTAGCTTTCTCAGAGTACATGCTGAGGCCTGAAATTCCTGCTTGGGAATATGATTATGCTTAATAAAGTCTGGTTTTAATCCATCTGATGATYGGACTTTTGCAAACTACTTTTTAGGACATTTGGCTGATGCTCTTTACTTTTCATGATCTTTTTAATGATTCAGTAGGGATGTAAAGCCATAAAAATGTTTGTAAATAGAAATAAAATTATTAATATTCTCTTTGTGCGCATCTAAACAGCTACACAAGTGTCCAGGACAAAGAATCCAACCTCTGAAGTCAGTCTGGTCTTCTTTTGTGTGTTTACTGATTTTGTGTTCTTCAGAAACAGTCAAAGTATCCAGGTCCACTAGGACTTGTCTGCCTTAAGCAATAATTGCTGCAACTCATTTACCCATGGACTTAACTAGTTTCTAAATAATTTTTTTCAAAATRTTTGACAAATACCTTTTCTAAGAATAGGTGTTCGGATGAACTGACTGGGCAAACTGGAATGACAAGTGCTTTGCTTTGTAGTCRTTATAATTCAGAAGAATTAAGCAGTACTCAGAATGTATGCAGATCATCAGGTCTGRGCCTCCATCACAATTTATATTTTTAGAAGATACCTCTATGGCCAAAGACCCACATTGGCAAGGGCAATAGTTCTCCAGCAGCTATGTCCTCTACTTGAAACAATCAAAGTCACAACCTTTTTTTTTTTTTTTAAACCTCCATTGTAGTGGAAGAAAATCTAAAGTGTGAGTGAAGTGATGACCTAGCATATAGATTAAAACTGAAGGGATAGGTTATTTCCTATACTGAACAAATGGTAAAATRTCTTAGTCTGACTTAAACTGATTGTTGTTGGGGACTTTTTTCATGAGATCCTGCGTTTCATTGTTCTTGTGAAAGAAAGAAAGCAAAATTATAGCACTGACATGCAAATATAACATAGAAACCAAAAAATATTTTTTTCTGCAGAGAAAAAAAAATCTAATTTGCTGTCTGATGTTTTAAAAGGTTTTTTTTCAGGTAAAGTTTTGTAAATTCCCAGTTGAATTAATTTGCTATTTCAAAGTCTGGTTTTGTTAAACCTATGGGGTTTAGTCAGCATCTTAATGTGTGAATTGTCTTGTGGATTCTAATAGGAGTATGGCAGATATCTGTTGTAATTCTGTAAGAAGTGATTTTAAAAGGATACTTTTTTCTGGGAGTCTATTTAACAATTGCAGATGAAGGACTAAATATGTTGAAAATAGAAATAATTTTTTAAAATCTGAGGGAAAAGTACAATAAATAATTTTTGAAACTCTGAGAAAAAACCCTTTTATTTGCATTTTTCCTTTTCTTTAGACAGTTTCAGTTTCTGTGTCTGTCCTAACACTCAGCTGCATTGCTTTGGATCGATGGTATGCAATTTGTCACCCTTTGATGTTTAAAAGCACAGCCAAGCGAGCAAGGAACAGCATTATAATTATCTGGATTGTGTCCTGCATCATAATGATTCCTCAGGCTATTGTTATGGAGTGCAGCAGTGTGTTCCCAGGATTAGCCAATAAAACCACCTTGTTCACAGTGTGTGATGAGCGCTGGGGAGGTGAGTCTGTCATTGACCATACAAGCTGAATTTGTACTGCTATAAAGTAATAAAAATATCAGGAGATCTTAATGTGAAGTGAAGTGGTATGAGCATAACACAAAATGTTCTTAATTATGTAAGCTTTCTTGGAACTATCRTTTTTCAAATTCTGTGAATTTTCTGTGAATTTCTTTTGTGTTGCTGAGACTTAAAGTACATTTTAAATCAAGTTTAAATGAATGAGGCTGTCTTGTGTTGTGACCATGCTAATGCTTCCCAGACGGTCAKCATGTTCCCACCCTTAAGATTCTGTGAGTGATGAACACTGCAGGTTTACCAACACTTCAGTATTTAGCCTTAAGAAGTTCTGTGCAAGAACAGATTTTCTCTTTACCTGATACTTCGCTAATTGCTGGTATTTGACTAGTCTATGGATATCTCCTGGAAGTTCAAGGCAAATTGAATGCCATTGCAGTATTTACAGAGATGTCTTCAATACGGGGTAATGAGTTTGTCTAAAATTTGAAATTTGTCATGGACAAAGTAATYTAAATAGCTTTGTGAATGCAATCAGTTATAAATTAGTCTGCACAAGAAGTGTAACCCTGCCCTTCCAGATTAACTTTGAATGTTCTGAGTCTGAACRCAGCTGTAAAAAGCTGTAAGGATTGCCAGGGAGTAAAGATTTGTATTTTGTCTGGGTTCACAGCAAGTGGTGTGAGCCACCCACCCCAATGGTGAGGGCTCCACTCGGGTGGGCCTTGGCAGAGCTCCAAGGCCAACAGAGCACAGGAGTTACACGCTGTGACTCTGACACTGMATATAATGACCACAGTAATACCATTATTCACACACAGGAGAATAAAGCCAAGTTTGCCAAAACACATAACTGAAAGGTGCCTGTTTAACAGCCTTGAGTCTGGCTAAAACACAATYAGATTCTCTCCCAGAGCTTGTCCCTGCAGAAGATTCCAGTCCTGTGAACAATTATGGTAAAATACAACCGGATCACCTGTACTTCATTATCATGGTAAATTAGCTTAAGCAGCTTAAACTGCTGAGGGCTCTTCCATGTGCTCTTCTGGAAGTTCCTTCCCTGCTAATGGCTTTCACAGGGCCACCAGAGGATTAATGAGAAGACACTGGATATCACATTCCCTGTCCTTTATCTCCTTCATCCCAGTTAGTCCTCTGGGACAAGGCAAGGGAGCAGAGGTGGCCACTTGCTCCCTGGCACTCATTGCTGACAAAGATGTGCTGAAAGTTTGTAGGTTAGAGGARGCCTCTGTTGAACTGTGAGTATTGTACTTGCTGTTTCATTGGAAAGGGCAAATCTGCTCTTTTGTGTCTTTTTTCTTCATCTGTGAAAAAAATTGTATCCCTGTCAGCTGCAGGACACTGCAGTATTTATGTGACTATTTTCTTTCACAGCATTCATTCCAAGTGCAATTCTTGTACACACATTTTGGTGCAGAACTAATTGTTCATGCCCTCATCCATTCAGGGTTCACTCAGCAGCAAAGATTCATTTAATCTCAGCCTAGGAAATTATGTGGTTAATTAATTAGGAATGCAAGAGAGCATTTCATCAGGAAACGTAATCTCAAAATTTCCAGATCTGTATTGACCACTTTTTGATTCCCAATGGGAAAATGTTTCTTTTGAACTACAAAGTCTGTAGTAGGCTTAGAACTATTTTAAAGAATGCCTCTTGTTTAGCTGTGCTGAAGTAGTTGCAGCCCACAGATATGCCTGAGCTGAAGCTCAGTTCATTGCCTGAGCTGTACCAAAAAAACCCAATAAAAACCAACCAAGACAAAATCTTCTCCTGAGGAGGGAATTTGTCTAAATGTAAATCTATTGGTCTTCAGGTTGTGATGTGAACCCTCACTTGAATGTTTRCAGAGATAGAGAGGGATATAATAAAGRCAAGTACTTGTGTATAGAATTAAACTCTTTTTGTGTGTGGCTTCAGAAGGGAAGTGCAAAAAAATRTTATTTATATTGAGCATAAAAAGAATTATGTTCAAAATATGTTGAAAGTTTTTTGAAATGGGAAGTTTTTTCACTGGAAGATAACAATCCTATTTTTATCTTGCTGCCTTTTAAAYGAATTATTCTTCTAATGGCAATGCACAACCATTGCTAGTTATTCTGCTGCTTCATTTCAGATATCCTTAAAAAAACCCCTCCATGCTCTAATAATATCTTATCACAGTAACTTGAGAGAAGCATCTTTATATGCATTAAGTTACAAGTGCATTTCTCAAAATCGTGGAATTGTTTAGTAAATGTAGAGTTAACCATATTCTATCAATGAGGACAAACTATATCTCTCTGTGTATATATATATATATATATATATATATATATGCACACGTCCTTTTCAGACTATAGAGAATAGACTATCATTAAAAAATAGTTTCCATGAAATGCCTAAGGACTCTGAGTTAGGCCGAAGCATAGAACATGCAGTTTTTCTACTGAAAAATAGGGTTTGACATCACAAAGACCCTCAAAAAGAACATAAGAACATGCTAACAAGGCAGCTGTTTGAGTCTTAAAGYCAGGAGAAGAAATAAAGAGCTAATATTTTTAAAGAAAATAATTGCATTTTTGTTGGATTTTGTTTTGTCTTTTTTGACTACACAAATTTAGAGGGTCAAAGAAAGAGCTAATGAGGATGATTTGGAAGGAGAAAGAAATCCATGCAGCTACAAAATAACCTGTATTTATGTTGCACATAATCAAGAGACCCTGAGAAAGTCCYGCAGGAGAGTCAATTTAGAGAAAGGAATTTTATTTAGGTGTTTATTGCTTTGTTTAAAGCTGCATATAATTAATGCTGTCTAAAATTAGAGTACATCTGATAAAATCTTAGCAGAGCATCATGCACACCATATGTCCTAAGGATGTTAAATTGTGAATGTTCAAGACTGGGACTGCAAAAGGTCCCAAAAAAGTTTTAAAGAAACTTTCCAAACTGCTTTGGAAGTCTGTTATAATTCTGGGACCCAAGGCCACTGAAACATGAGGTGCCATGGAGGACTAACTGGAAGCCATGGCCAGGAAGATGTCAGAGATGCCAAAGCAGGAGACAACACTGTACCCTACACAGACTGAGGGCCAGCTGCTGAAGACCCTACAAGTCTGATGAATGTCTGCAGTGAAGCTCTGATCAGCATTGTGATGCTTGGGCTCCCTAATGGTGAACAAATAGTTGCCACCCTGATTAATAACATTTCAAGCATGCTGCTGGAGAGCTGCCAGTGGCTGCAAATGGAGCAGTTCAGCCTAAAACAGGGCTCAATTTCTTTATAATTGCTTCTGGCATTCCTGAATGTAAAATTCATTGCCAGTTCTAGGCAGAGGGTTTTTCATCTTGAGTACTGTCTAATAGCAATATTTTATTTGGGAATGCAGAARGATCCAACATGTGACCTATGCAGGCTCACTTAAGGAGCCAGAGTTGGCCGCAGTTCTATAATAGTCTGTAATTGCTATGTGCTGAATTTGAAGATAAAGTGCCAAAATAAAAGAAATGTATATTAAAATGAGTTCACCATGTGTCCAAGTCAGCTAAGTACATTCTCTTAGAGCTGTTCAAGAAGAGAGTGCTAGCCAAAGTACATTAGCCAGGCCCTTTGCGAATGATAAAAAGAATATGGAGATAATCCTTTCCCAAAACTAAATGGTTGAATGGAAACAAAGGGAAGATTTTATGTTCCATTTCCTCTTAGCCTATTCATACAATAGTACAGAACCACATTGTCTTAATTCTAGAAAAAAAATAGCTGGGAATTGCAGAACTACAAGAAGCTTTATACATCCTGTTTATCAAAGTGTTCAGAATTTAATGAAAAACTCATGGGATATTTTAAGGCATAAAGAAGTCAGAATATCTCTAAAACTAAAATTAAACTTGTTGTTATTGTGAGTTGTTAACTCAAGGTTTCAAGATATAATTTGAATATTAGCTCACYGTAAGTGCTCTGCCATAGGAACATAGTTTGGAAAGCACTCCATTGTGTGGTTGATTGTTCTCTGCTATGGGTACCCACTTCCTAACATCCCTGATTATTAAGATTTATTCTAAACATAAACACTTTGTGTTGCATTGCTTCTCTGTATTGATAACTCCAAAACCTCATAGGTATCCTCCTGAGACTACGGAACCTGGGAACCCTACTGATGCACAATAAACTTGATAGTCTTGTTTTTCCCTATCCTGAAGGAAGCTGTCATGAGCAGCAATTT